ATAGCCTCAAACTCCTGGCCTCAAGTAATCCTCCCTCTTCAGCCTCCCTAAGGGCTGGGATTATAGGCATGAACCACTATGCCTGGCTGAGGATTTTTATTTTTAAGGAAAGGTAGCCTAGCAACAAAAATGTAAGATGTGCCGTGAACCAGGCTCAGCTATAAGCTACAAAGACAGGCAGTGATTCCTGTCTTTAGAAGAGTCAGGCTGGGGAGGAGGGCAGACAGGCATGCAGGCAATTAGCCTACGGCCCTATTACTCCAGGATAAAGGCAAAAAGAGTGTACTCTGGAGCACAGAAGAGGGGCATTTAAAAAGAAGCTAGTGGGGTCAAGGAGGGCTTCCTGGAACATACTGACCCCTGATGCTGGTCCTGAGGGATGAGTGACAGTAATGGTGTCGGCAGTGCTTCAGATGTAGGGAGGGCAGAAAGAGCACATTGGGAAAAACGCACACTGTTGAGAGAGACAGGCTGCACAGCGCAAGCGTGGAGTAGCCTGAGATGAGGCCAGAGAGGCACGCAGGGTCCAGGTGGGCCACGGACACCAAGAGCACCCCCGAAGGACGTTAAGCAGAGAGCTCACGTGGCAGATCTGCTTTTTAAGAAAAATCTCTCTGGTGGCAGGGTAGAAAAAGTACTACCGAGACAGAAAGGTCACACTTATTTTAATATAGTTTGTAGCTCAATATCTTCAGCTGATTATTCTTCTAGAGTAATGATAGCTGTCTAGAATGATTTCTTGACGTTTCATTTGGGTATCGTCCTCTTTATCATCTGCACAAATCCAGATTTCTCATACCAGAAGTATTCCGCAAACAAGGAAGAGCCCTTGTTCAAGGAAGAGAATCGCGAAAAGCAGGGGGTGGTGGAGAGGAATCTTTGCAGTCACAGCTCGCAGAACAAACACCAGTGGACTCTCGGATGAACAATGAGTGACCCAGTCCCACCGAAACTGAACAATGGTTCACGGTGCAAAGAAGCGCAAATGTTTTCTGTCTGTGTCAGTGAAGGGAAAACACGCTTGGAAAAATTAACAACGCATGTTTTTATAGTAAAGGCAGCAAATATTTTTTCTTCCATAGACAGTGGAAATGTAAAAAAAAAAAAAAAAAAAATTGGTTTTTTAATTTAAGAAAATTGTCAAAGAATAACAATTTGATCAACTATGTGAACATAAACATCTCTTGCCTGTTCACCATGAACTTGTTTGGTTAACTAAGGACAGAAATTTAGATGCCATTTTCTAAGTATTTAAAATCCTATCACTATTGCATTGTATTTTTTATGATTTACCTTGGACCAGAAGAACTGAGTCATAGGCTTCAACTCTTATGTTTCTCTCCAAGTTTTAGATCCCAGGCTAGAATTTTTATGTGAACAAATGGATTTTTATGAACTTTTATGGCCCTCGGTTGTTTTTAGACAACGAGAGAGCTTGCAGTCCGACTGATGGTCACTTACAGAAGGCGCGGTGGGCACGAGGTCGTTTTCTGTTCTTCCTGTCTGCATTGCTGTGTGGACCCGGACGGACTCATAAATGGAAGGTTCTTCCACTTCTCTTGGATACGGATGTTTCAGAACAATCAGAGTGCCTGAGTGAAGACAAAAATATACAATTGAATAGTATCCCCAGAAGGAAGATCCAAATGCTAACTGGAGAACTGTGGCGAGATTTGTGCAAAGTCTCTGGTTTTTTCACGTATTCACTTGTTCATTTTCTCAACGGTTACTGAGTATCAGCTCCACGCCAAGCACTTAAGCTGGACACTGAGCTACAAAGCACGATATAGACGATCTCTGGCCCCGCAGTTCTCGGAACTGTAACAAATATAGTCATTTACCGGGTCAATGAGATCCGTGGTCGTAAAGATGACAGCACCAAGAGGCCCTGAAGAGGCTTGCTCTGGAATGATCTAGGAACACTTCCATAGAGGAGGTGATGTTTGACTTAGATCTTAAGTAACAACTGGAAGTTTTCCAGAAGGACAAAAGCCATGACAACAGAAGCAAACAGAAGTATGGAAGGATCTATTCAACTGCCCTTAGTTCTTTTACCGGTTTCAGAACAAACTTGGAACAAATCAGTGGATCACAAAAAAGTCGACTCAAAGCACTCTCTCCAATCTCTGTCACCCGATTAACTAAATAAAGTAAGTGAATGTGATCTGAACAGGCCGGAGCTCACGTGTGGTTGCGTCACTTCCATCTGGAGGAGGGGTCCAGGCAGGTAAAGGGCTCTGCCCAGGGGCCAGGTGTCTTGGGAACTTCATTCCAGGGTCTCGGAGCAGCTCTGACTCAGCACTTCCGACATTTCGGTCTCCACATCCTCCCCCCGTCAACCAGAAACTAGAGACAACGACTATAACAAAAGCAACTTGAGGGTTTTTTCTCCCTTGTTATGGCTTCTTGCTTTTATTTCACTAGGGTCTTTTCTATGGCAGGCCCAGGAGCGCGCTAGACATAGAGGAGATAGAAGAGATTCAGCAAGTCATTCGACAAACATTTGCTGAGCCTTGCTCTGTGCCAGGCACTTGTCTAGGCATTGGGAACACAACAGCGAACGAAGGAGTAATCGCATCTGCCATGATATTTTAGATGTGAGAAGTGTTACGAAGTGAATGGAGCAGGGTAGAGAGGAAGAGAGTGAAGAGGGTGGGGGTGGGAGAGGCTGATACCTACAGGGGTGGTCAGGGAGGGCAGCTTTGAAAAGATGATTTGAAAGATGATAAAAAGTACAGACCCTGAACTGGAGTAAGAGAGAGACAAAGGAAAAGGAAAAATATCTCCTCTGTAGTTAAAAGAACAAAACCAAACCTGATGTTAATGATACATCGACACGAAACAAAACCCTTCTGGGAGACGTGAGCATGCCCAGCCGTCTGGCTGCAAAAACAGAACCGGGGCTGCTGCTACCAGGGCCAGATACTGTGCTGCCGGAAGTGAAAGGGAGGCTGTTCTTGGTCTCTGATCTTGACCCCAGAGAAGAATGAGAGACTCTGGCCCCTCCCCTTGCTGCCTCCCGTTGGGGCCAGCAGCATCGCGCTCACAATGACAAATGGCCTTGGCTGTCACCAGAAGCCCTGTCCTGCTCTTGCACATTGTCTGTGCTCTTTTGTCAAAGTGATCCTTTCGTGGGAACAGGGCCAGTCATACGGGGTGAAGGGGCCGGTTATGGTTTCACAGTCAGAATGAAAGCAGCGACACCTAACCCAGGGCGGCCACCGTGCAGGCGCGAGGGCCATGGGGACTTTGCGCCGACTGGCTCCTAAGTGACCCGCCCCAGAGAACGCCTCCCATGATGTGCCCGGCAGCCACCTGCCTCGCGGCAAGAGCACTGGACACACCGGCGGGGACAACCACCGCAAGCTTCCTTCCTGCCCTGACTGCCGAGGATAGCCACGCTTTCTTCCCAAGACTGTTCTAAGCACCAGATAAAGAAAGCGTCCGTGGAAAGACTGCAAAATGTTCGGTGTCGTTATTCTCTGACACAGAGTGTTTTTAAATCCTTAACTCAAATTCTAACGATTGCATCTTTGCAAACATGGATTTTAAAACGTTATGTTAAAAAATACCTACTTGCAACATTCTGCTAGGAATGAAAGGGGTGGTAGCCTGGTCACCCCTAAATCGGTGCCTCTTAAACATTCCACCCCACAGGGCTCAAAGCAGCTAGCAGATTGGAAACATTTTGAAATCTTGTGCTTCATCTTCGAAGTTAATGCTAGATTTTCATTCTACGTCATATACAAAATCATGCTTTCGATGATGCTCCAGAAAGATGCTGATACGACCAGGCACACGCCTAGCACACTTCGACCAGTATTAGTTTCCCATGGCTATTGCAGCAAATTGCCACTAACATCGTGGCCTAAAACAACCAAATTTATTATCTTACAATCGTGAGATGAATCAGCCTCCCAGACCCACCACTACCCTGGCCTGGGGCAGACGGGACGACAGCTGCAGACGCAGTTCTTCAAACCTCTGTTGGGAGGACCCGAATTCTATTTCAAAAACCTCCTGTGATGTTTAACCCAGCAAAAGCTAAACGGAGGGAAACGGTGTAGAGTGAGCCAGGAGGGCAGAACTGATTGCAGGCTGATTGTGACCAGTAAGACCATGAATGAGGCTAACCTGAATGGTGGGATGAAGAAAAAAACGAACTACTTATAAAGTGACAACTTCCACTGACAAAAATCTGTTGTCCTAAAAGACAGATCCCTTTAGCTGACCATTCTTTTTTTTTTTGAGACAGAGTGTCACTCTTTTGCCCGGGCTAGAGTGAGTGCCGTGGCATCATCCTAGCTCACAGCAACCTCAAACTCCTGGGCTCAAGCGATCCTCCTGCCTCAGCCTCCCGAGTAGCTGGGACTACAGGCAT